AAGACACACACTGACACACACACACGCACACACACACACACAAATACAGAGCTCACTATCATACTTTTCCCCAGCGCCACTCCTCCACAGAATGTTTATTTGTCTTCTGACTCCACTCACCGTGTGCGCCGAGCGACCATGGCTCACTTCCAACAACAACACGAAGAGTGTGTGTGCACATGCTGGCATACATGGATGGGTGTGTGTGTGTGTGCGTGTGTGTGTTAAGAGCTGAGGGGTTTGTTTACAGTGTTGAGAGCCACACTTACACACACTAACATGTGTACAGAGTCTCAGTTCAGTTCAGTTCAAACTGACTCAGCTCTCTTGGCGTTCCTCAAACTGGCTTCTAATGGATTTTGGCCAACCGAATGTTTCATTTTCACTCAACCTGATTATTGATTCTGAGGCGAGAAAACACAGTTTGAAAAATTTCAGTGGAGAGTGATTGCTTATGTTTGCCAAGTTCTGTTTGTCTGCATCTCTCCCTCCTACCTACTGATTTTTCACAAACCCGGGCCAAATGGTGAAAAGTATTTTTGAAAAACATCCATAAAAATATGATGGTAAATGGTCAGTGTTTGTCACGTACAGCTCAATACAATGATTCGTTTTCCATCTGGTGTCAACACAACTGTCGGGAAATCAGACTTGAATTATAGCAGCTAGTTGATTTTTGTTTTTGTGGCATGCCAAACATTTGTTCCACTGCACATGAGAGAACGAGACACTGTTCAAGTTCAAAACCAGAATAAAGCATCAATCACAACAGCTATTTACAGGGTTTCAGTTAATATACATGTATGTCCATATACAAGATTTCAGATGTATTCTACATTGGATACAGGAATTTCTCCTTTTAGCTAAAATGAGACAAAAACTAACTGTGTTTGCTGCAGACATCAAATTCAGATGCAGGATGTGATGCGAAACTGCATCAAATCCAAATGTAAATACATTTAGAGATGTTTGTCACCACGTTAACAAGTGCAAATGCAATAATCTCCAACCCAACAAACTGAAATAAACTTTTAGAGTGGAGCTCCAGCAAGAACGCTTTTGCAAAGCATCCTCAAAGAATAACACGCAGTATTGGTCAAAGGTGGCTCAAGACTCAAGATGTCTGTTGGCAAAGAAACTCACCAGCTGGACTGTCCGGACACAGAATATTATTCCTGCGTTAGTTTTTGTTGTTGATGTGTTTTTGTGTATTGACTCTCCTCGTCCTTCATTCTCTAGTTGATCACGCCGCATGCCATCCGGGTGCAGACGCCTCCCAGACACATTCCTGGGGTCGTCGAGGTCACCCTGTCCTACAAGTCCAAACAGTTCTGCAAAGGCACACCGGGAAGGTTCATATACACAGGTAGGTCCACCGTACACACACATACACTCAGACAGTACAAGCACGCATGTACATGTTCTTGATTGAAGAACATGGTTGTGTTTTCCTCGAGGGTAGGTTGAATTTTTCATTGTTGGTTTTTGGAAATGTGTGTTTGCGCGTGTGTGTGTGCATGCGTGCGTGCATGTGTGTGTGTGAATAGCGTCTATGAGTTGCAGTTCACTCTCAGGCCAGACAGTGTTGAACTAATGACTGTAGATTAGTCAACATTAACGAGCCACACTCGTTAGAATGTTGCCATAATCAGAGGCTCGTTAAAACCAGCTACAATTAAACAGTCTGCTCTTTATAGCCCTCCATACTGAAGCTATTAGTGAAATCATCCAGAACACCCAGTTTACTAACACACACATTAAACACACACACACACACACACACACACACACAGTGTTGGAAAAGTGTGTGTGATTTCTGACCGGACTGTTGACTGTGAATGAGTATTTTCCTGCTAAATTCAGCAGAAGAGAGAAAAGACAAGAAAGCATCTCTGTGTGTGTGTGTGTGTGTGTGTGTGTGCATGCATGCGTGTGTGTGTGTGTGTGTTTGTTCATTTTGTTCGCACATACATGTGGAAATGGATCGAGATGATGTGATGTCTGGTATTGATCCGCTCAACATGGCTCCATCACACCATAACGATGACGTCATTCACAGAGAGAGGGACAGACAAATAAAACAGCTGCTGTGTAAATTCTTTCAGACATTTAATGACCTTGGTAATTAACCAAAGATAAAGATGAAGATTTAAACCTGATCAATGACGATGAAAAAAAAAACTTACCATGAGTAAATTGTCAGTTTTACTGTTGGTGTCAAGTTCATGAAAGTTTTAATATTTCGTCTTCAAAAGAAAGTGATGAGTTTTGTTTAAAATAAATGCAATTTGGATTTATGTAGCACCTGCAGCAACAGGTTACGTGCATAGAGAAATACGAATAACATGAAGATATGAGAAAAAGCAACAACAGAAAAGAAAAAAAGGAAAAAGAGGTTGAGGATTTTAGACTAGACAAAGAAAATGGCTACATCTATAGGAACTGCAAGAAAATGATGCTCGCAGTCGCAGCATTGGTTGATTGCCAGGTGGTTTTTGGAAATTGCAGTGAAAGAACACAACAGTTAGCACAAGAATTGAGAGCAACAATTATCATTGCAATAAAACAGGCCCAGAACATTGTTTTTGTTTTAAATGTTTTGACGAAGTTTGGAAGACTAAGACGTCAAATGATTTTTTTGGGGGGGTTTCTATTTTTGTATTGGAGGTATGATAAGTGTCTTAGTTTCTTTGTACAGAGGAACAAGCTTCTCTGGCTGCGTGCCTCCTTCAGTGTTCTTCACTCAAAACATCTTCGGTCTGACCCTGAGGCAAGCCGGCTGGTAATTGGTCCGTCTGGCGTCTAACTGCTTCTCCTATTGGGCGGAGGTGACCCCCCGTGACCTCACGATTGGCTGATCGTTTCAACATGTGACCCAGGAAACGCGATCCGTTACCGCGGTTACCTGACCTCGCCTCAAGGTCGACTTCTTTCTGGAAGTCACCGGTGAAAGGTCACCGGCGATGAAAGCTGATTGGCTGTTGTGGTTTTTCGATGCTTTAGCTGCGGTTGCCTCCGGGTGTAAGAGCCGAGCAATTAAACATGCACACACACACACACACACACACACACACACACACACACACGTAAACACACACACAAAGCTTCACATGCATGGAGTCATGTCTTACACGACTTACCATGCACACTTTAAAACAGGGGCAGGAGTTGAAAGTAATTGTAAATCAGAGAGATATGAAGGAAAGATGGTGAGTAGTCTGGTAAACAGATGGCCTATCACATACATACACACACACACACACACACACACACATACAGTACACATATACACATGTACACACCGTGCCGTATGGCTGCTTCATCTGCCTAGTGGGAAAAATTAAGATTCTCTGCATCACACTCTATATAAACACACATCGGTACAAAGTGACAATCAATAAATGGTCTCACACACAAACACGTTGCACACACACACACACACATGGCCACACACACACACACATGGCCACACACACACACACACACACACACACACACATGGCCACACACACATATGCAGAGCTTATTTCATGTCAATAAAGCTGCATAAGATCCATGATGCTGCTGAGGAGAGGAAACTTTTAGGGAAATCTGAAAAAGCAACGGGCGATTTAACTTTGCAGACAAAATAAGAGAGAATAAAAAGAAATTAGAATATAGACGGAGAGAGAGACAGAGACAGGAAAAAAAAGAGAAAGAAAGAGAGACACATATAAAAAGAGAGACAGAGAGAAAGGTGGACTTTTAAAACCAGATTGTAAAGTATTGATCCACTCCTAAGTGGATCACACATATACTGATACACGCATGCAGATACACACATGTACATACACACTTATACAAACACACAGGGAGCCCACTGAGAGAAGAGGAGCTGGGGAGAAAGAGATCTCATCTCATAAGGGGAAGAATGAAGCAATAATTCAGTGGTATTGAACTGCTGGCTGGCCAGAGAATCGATCTCACCACACCTCCTCTCCTCTTCTCCTCCTCCCCCTCTCCTTCTTCTTCTTCTTCTTCTCCTTTTACATCAGCACTCTTCGTCCTTTCACCCACACAGTTTCACTTGTTTTTTTCTCCCTTTACCCCCCCCCCCCATCCTCTCTTTTGTTTAAACATTGCCAAATGATAACAAGAAAAACACCACCCTTGGATAATAAATCCTAGACATGCAGCTTCAACACAGACAATATTTTTCTCTATTTCACGGTGCCTCCTCCACTCCCCCCCCCCCCCCCTCCCTTTTTTTTTTTTTTTTTTTTTCTGTGTCCCTCCTCTCCTGGCGTTTTTATTGTGAAACAGGAGTGGAGCTTCTGTCCTCATGAAACTTCTATGAGTATTGATCGGCAGGCAGCTCTGGACTCGGAGAGGAAGAGCGAGGCTGGAGGAGAAGTGATGGAAGAATGGATGGATGGATGGATGGATGGATGGATGGATAAAAGTGGCATAAGGTGTAGTTAAGAAAGAGGGGGAAGGAGGCTGAGCAGAACAGAGGGAGAAGGGAGGAGGGGGGTGCAGTAAAGGAGAGCAGGAGGGATTCACACTGAGATGCTTTCATGGGCAGCAGGGTGGCAGAATGAATCGAGATGAAACGAGTTCAGGCCTCAGTGTCACCAAATCATCTGCTGAAGTGTCCCTGTTTGTTGTTTTCAAACATTTGAGAGTGCAGCCGGGATACATGAAAATATATCTATGGACTTTTAAAGCTTTGTAAGGATTTACAGAAAATGCTGGAAAATAGTAAATAATAAGATTATTCTGTGTATTTGATTGAGACTCCATACCACATGTTGAGGTGCTCTTTATGTGTCTCAACTTGGAAAACAAGTTATCTCCTTCGAAATTTGTGACTGGAAAGGGTTTTCTGTAAAGTGTGATGTCCTGGAGACTTAGTGGTTTAGGACAAATACCATGTGACCCCTGAAATGACAGCATCGGTCATACAGTCAAACCTTTGTGTACGTGTTCTTGACAAAGACCTCCTCTGGCCTTGTGGGTAATAACCATTGTCTCTGAGAAGCAAAAGCAGAAGTAACATGTCTCCTACTAATAGTCAGTGTTGGTTTTATTTTCACCACGACCACCATGGTTGCACGCTTTGTGATTTAAGCATTTTTATCCACACTTGCAGCGCAGCCCTAGAGACGGCAAAGTCAGCCAGTCGGTTGGCTGGTCTATAACCACTTAAATCCAAATATATTAGTAACTCTATGATGGATTGCCCTGTGATTCGGTGCAGACATCCATGGTTCCAAGATCCTGTGTCTTACTTACTTTGGTGAGTCCCTAACTTTTCCTTCTGGCACCACCAGCAGGTTGACATTTGGTACTACTGGGAGGATTGCCATGAAATTTGCCACAGACATTCATGTCCCCCACAGGACTCACAATCACTTTGGCTTAACTTAACTCTTCATTATCTGACAACAGAAACAGAAAAACACATAAATGATCAGCTTTACTGGATGTGATAAAATACTGTATATGTGAGAGTAGGAGAGAAGCAAACAGATAAAGGGCTGCCACGGGGCAGAACACAAATATGACATGATCTCGTCATGAATAAACTATTTAGTGTATCTAGCAACATTTAGCGACTTTCCAAGGGGGTTTTAGCAACTTTCTATTGAAAGTAGTTGGCAACACTGAGCATGTACACTGTAGCCCATAGTACTGCTGAGCCAAAGTAGGGTCGCTTGCATGGTTGTCATCTGTTAGTCTTTTTACTATATACGTAGCATGGCATATAGACAGTTAAATGCACCACATTACTTTTAACCGTAGTCTTACTCTTCAGCACCATGGACAGCTGATGTTAAGAAGCTTTGTGTAAAAATTAAAGAGCATCTGTAGAAACAGCCTTAACTTGAAACAAGACCCTGCTCTCCCTGTTCTGTGGTTTAGGTTGGATGACTTGTTGTTGAGGTGGTTGTTGCCTCCTTTGGGAGTTTCCTAGCAGACGTCCAACAACCGGAGGCTCATGAGCACTGGCTCGGCCTGGTTCATCTTCCAAGGGGCCAAGCGTCCCAACATTTACAACTATCTCGGAGTGTGGCCTAGTACGTAAACTAAAGAAAGTCCGGGTACTTATAAACCACTTAGATATAATCATATGCTGTATCAATCATCATCACATGCTGTGCTGGAGGGGACGTTTCTTTATGTTATATTGAACATTTTCCACCAATCCTTTTATGATCTACACAGTTTCCTATGATGATGATTGATACAGCATGTGATTATATGTATCAAGTGGTTTATAAGTATGCAGGCTTTCTTTAGTTTACACACTAGGCCCCACTCTTAAATGGGTGTATATGTTGGAAGATGAACCAGGCCGAGTGGGCCAGTGCTCATGAGCCTCCGGTTGTTGGTCTCCTGCTGAGAAACTCCCAAAGGAGGAAACAACTACTTGATACCTATAATCATACGCTATATCAATCATCATCATATACTGAGCTGGAGGGGATGTTTCTTTATGAAATACTGAACATTTTCCACCCATTCTTTTATGATCCACACAGTTTTATGCACAACGACAATTCCTTTTCAACTGTGTTAGTGTTTTCAGTTTCCTGTCTGAGCGCACATCTCAAAAACCTGTGTGCGAGGCTGGAGACAAGTGTGTTTGTTGTTTGCGGGAGTCAGTGTAACCAGTGTTTCTATGATGAGTGAACCTCGGCTGGTGTTACCGATGCCTTTTTACAACTAATGTGCAATCAATTGTGTGTCTTTTTTCTGCGCTGATACTATTTCTGTGTCATCACAGAAAGAAACCACTAAAGAATTCATTTGAGAAACCTGACCTATTGGCTTCAAAGTACACGCGCGCACACACACACACACACACACACACACATACACTTGGAGACACGCACTCTTTATATTAGCCTAAACACACAATCATCCACACACCTTTCAACAATTTAAGAAACACATTTGTTCTATTAATAAAGGGTCGGTTGGAGACACTTTAGGCCCGAGGTATCGAAACCACTCCAAGTCATTCTGTTGAATGCATGTCTCTGTGCGTGTGTGTGCGTGTGTGTGCGTGTGTGTGCGTGTGTGTGCGTGTGTGTGCGTCCTTGTGTGTGTGTGCGTCCTTGTGTGTGTGTGCATGTGTGTGTGTGTGTTAGCAGAGTTGGCATCGGTTGAATGTCTCCAGAGATGTAAAGAGAGTGTGGATCTGACACTGGCAGTTAATTCTGACAGTTGATATCCCATCGACTGTTAGGCAGCTGTTTTTGTGCAGTTTTGTTTTTCTCAACCATAACTGATTTCTTTTTCTTTTTTTTTTGTTTTTTTTTTTTTTTGGATGGTTCAACACATGCTTCCCTCACCTCTCCTCTCCTGTCACCTGATCTTTATTCTTTTACTCTTTCTCTCTCTCAATCAATCCACTGCTTCTCTTCTCCTTGACCTCACCTCCTTGCACGCCAGCCATACTGATGTAATTATCACATGTGAATCATAAAATCATAATTTATCCAGAGTTTTAAAAAGTTTAAAAAGGTTTCTTTGGAGCAGGGGGTAGTTTTGTTCATGACAGTTTAACATCTGGTATTTTTACAGCACACAATTTATGAAGTTATGTTGCTAACAAATTGAGAGGTTTAGGGCAAAACAGAAACCAGAAAATTGGGTGCAATGTGATAATAAAACAGACATACATATAAAAAAAACACACACATGTGCAAAAAGAAAGTAAAAAAAAAACAACACATAAGACGTTCAGCTGCAAGTAATTTATCAGTGCTGGATGTGGAAAGTACCAAATATCACTCCAGCTGCACAATTGGACATCAGACACACACATGCACACACACCCTCTGCACCCCACACCTACAATCCCGTCTTCTAGCACAGCCTGTCTTCCTCTTTCTTTCTGTCTTTATCTTTCTACTTCTCTTATTCCTCCCTCCACCTGTCTCACACACACACGCACACACACACACACACACATTCAATAACTTTAGGTTCAACAATGGGGTGAAGACACATGTTCAGGGCCATATAAATAAACACACATGCAGACATGCACGCACATCATACTTGAAGCCATCATCCTGACTGACGGAGCTTTCAGAGCTACAGTTGATTGACATGTTGATTGGATAAAGAGTGTAGAAGAAGAGAATTGCAACATTAAAGTGAACTCTAAGCGTTTTTTAAAACCTTTTAGATTATACCTGCAGTGTTATTATCATACAGATGCTTTTGACACCATTAGTTACTCCACCAGGTCTATCCATCTCTGAACACGTTCATGTTGCATTAAACCGCGTGTCTGCGCTCCGTCACAGGGCTGCTACCACTGATCCCAACAGAAAAACAACAGTTCATCATTTCACCCATATTATTTCCTCTTTTACCTTCACTGGTAATTAGTAGCGCTGTACCCGAATCAGAATCTCTGAGTTAGTCAGTTAGTGATGTTTTTCTTAAATAACCCTTTACCCCAACAATGAAACCTGTACTACTCACTGCTGCTGCTCAGGTCCAGTCCAGAGCATGCAGCTCTCTCAGTGTCAATCACACTGGACAGCAGAGGAGGAGGCTGTACCAGCTTCCGGTTACAAAGACTACTTTGCTGAATGTAGCATCGGTGCTGAAAGCATCAGACCAGCAAGATTTTAGCCTGCCATGCTACTGTGCTGAGTCGCTTTGTGTTCAGTAACACAGCCAAAAACCACAAAATAAAGCACAACTCTTGAGTGGTGGCTTCTTGACTGATTGTTCGAATGATCAGTTAGCATGAAGATTTTTATTTTGTTAATCATGCAGATAGTTTTTTATCTGTTTAATCAAGTTTGAGCTCCCGCTCTGGTATTTCTGCTGCCACTCTACAACAATGAGGGTGACAGAAGTTTTGTTTGTCCAACTTGAAAAACTGAGAAAACCTGTTTTCCTTTTGCCTACAACGCTTCAGCTGCTCAGGATGAACCACTGCTAATAATCAACTGCTAATAAACTGCTAATGTTTTAAATAATTTGAGCAGCGTAAAAGAAATTTTCTTCACCTCCACTGTGTTTTGTGAACTGATCCTTTAACTGGTAGCCGGAAAACATGCTATGTAATTGTTGGCCACCCAAGCGGCTGCCCTCAATCCTCAATGGGTCTTTGAATTATGTTTTGGATTAATGCTGAAATTTAAGCCTTCTTAATATATTTAGTCATGTGGGTTTCCTCTCAATTCACTGGTGATTTTTAAAGCTTTAAATATAAATGTAATCAATACTGCGATAATGCTGGACTAATGTGAAGAAAGGAGGAGTCAAGTATTGGGGGATGAATTATAAATGGGTCCATCTGGAATGGAATATCTTTACATTCAAAAGAACTAGAGCTTAGATGCTAATCAGCTGAAATAAAGTAAATCCACTGATTTTCACAGTGGCAGCTTCCTGCACCGTTGGAGACGTTTCAGTGCCGCGATTGAAGAGAATCCCTCCACAGAAGTTGTTGAGAGATGCGTTTTCCTCGCTTACAGTTTCCAAATTTTGAACTGCCGACCTCTCATTCACAAGCCCGCCTCTCTAACCTCCGGTCGTCTGTCGGTTCTCAGAGATCACGCTGAGCAGGTTCGTCTTTTCCCAACCTAGAGAAGCCTAGGAAATGTCACAAAACAGGATGTCATCCTCTCTCCTCTCCAGTCAACCCCATCCATACCCCCCTCGCTGACTGGCACAGATGTTGAGACTCTGCGTCTGTTGTCATGCATGCGAGCTCAGAGTGAACACAAATAGCATTAAGGTGCAACGTGTAACAGTTTAATACTCATAATCTGCTACCACATTCTTATTGAAACAAGGATACTGAAGCTTTAAAACAAGAGCTGACTCAGAAATATACCAGATGAAAGTGATAACGCTCAGAGTATGGTGTGGTGAAGGAAGCCCTTAGTGTCCTTGGTTGATTATGTAGTGTCATCACAACATGCATGTACACAATCACTAGGCCTTATGTTATTTAGCGTCATAGAAGTCTGCTAAATTAGATGTGAAATCCCACAGGGAAGGCTGCATTTTTTTTTCAATACGCTAGGAAGTAAGAGTCAGCTCTCTTTTTTTCCCATCAAGCCTCACTGGTCAGTCCCCATTTGCCCCTGTAATGTATTTTACATTTTATAACACCATTGGGATTTTGCTGGAAATCAGGAGGATTGCTTTACACCATTAAAGAGGTTAAGGGTGCAAAAACAAAGCAGATGGTGGAAACAAAGAGAAGCCTGGTGGAAAATCTTAGCATACATGTTTATCCTTCACTGGAGCAAAAATGAAGGAGTGGCGAATAAGCCACAGCATCCTTTTTGTGACAGGAATCAACTGAGATTGTGGAAAATGTCTTCAAATGTGGCTATAACCAATATTTATTTTTATTAAAATGGATTATGTGGCTACTTGGATGTGAGAGGGGTTCCACGTGGAGTTTAACTCGACTCTGCAGTTCTCCTCAGCTCCACAGAGCTTTATAGTGTCTTTCAGCTCATTGTTTTTGGTTCACTGCCTTTAATCTGTGTCGTTTCCAGATGCAGCGAGCAGCTGTTTCTAGCAACCAAAAAAAAAAGAAAAAAAAAAGCTCTAAATATGCTGCCTGCCCAGCACAAAATGGCACACAGATGAATTTAGAGACCAGCTGGTGAACAAAGTGAAGCCTTTGGCAGCTAAAGAGGCAGGTACAAGCTTTTCTGTCACGAGTGGGTGGAGACCAAAATAGAGCCAAAATGAGAACGAATATTAGACTTACGCTTGGATGGAGACCAAACAGGACTGCAAATGAATGCTAATGTTTCTGTTGGGTGTGTTAAGAGGAAACTGTTTGCTAACAAGTTCGCGACATAAAAGTGATTATATTTCAGAGTTGTGTTTACAGCTTGTTTCTGCTGCCCCCATGTGGTCAGTAAATCAGCTGGTGCAGGTTTTTTTTAACTCGATAGATAGAGTTATCAATTGCTTGTGATAGTTACACTTAAGTATCACAATACACATATAGCATATTAAATACTGTATACTAAATTACACAGTTTATAGTCTTTCTCTGTTACACCTTATTCAGGTTGTTGTCAGTGCTTCAGTCTACTCTGTTGTTTTCCACATAACTAAATTGGAAAACTCAGTAAGTTCAAAGTCCTTGGTGTGATTTGGTACATTAGACATTGAGGGATTGGTTTGAAGTGTAAATAATAAACTACCAGTTAGTAGCGATGGCAGGAGGGTGGCTTGCTTTGCTTGGACTTTTCAGTTAGACCCACAGTTGCAGCGTCTTTTTTTTAGTCATTCCTCCTCTTTCTGTTTCTGTCTTCTGCAGCACTGAATGAACCAACCATCGACTACGGTTTCCAGAGGCTTCAGAAGGTCATCCCTCGGCACCCCGGGGACCCCGAGAGGCTGCCAAAGGTACCACAATAATTAACATGCACCTTATACACATTTATCCGATGCTTGAACTGGACAGTGGACCTGGAATGAGTGACGCTCTGGACGGACACTGTATCGCTTACAGAGATCAAACCTGCAGCTTCTCAGTTATATGGAGCCGCACCGAGCTGCTCCGCTGTCAAAGAACAGACACGCAGGAATACACACGCATAGATTCAAAAACACTAAGAACAAAATAATTGTATTTATGTTTTATTTGTTTGTTTTCTGCGTGTTATTTTTATATTTCGTAGCAGAATATGTGTTTTCAAATCTCCTGTGGGTTGTGTCTTTACCTCTTCATGAACTCTGTGTGTGTGAGCTGCTTAACCCCCGTTTGCAGGGTGAGTGTTTGAATCTTCTCCAAGATCAGAAAGTCAGATCTGATTATTTGTTTATCAGCTGGAGATCAAGCAGAGTGTTTAAAGGATCAGCAGATGTAAACAATTAGCTCCAAACGATGAGCTCGGCTTTGATACCAGACGCTGTCATGTTGATCTGTATGTAAGTGTGTGTGTGTGTGTGTGTGCGTGTGTGCGTGCATGCATGCATGCGTGCGTGCGTGAGTGCGTCTGTGAGCTTCCTGCACTGACCTGATTCAACTTGAAACTTTCCAATCTGGGTGGGCGGGGTCATGACCTTTCAAGCAGCTGCTGTTGATTGGCTCTCCATCCCCACTGGAGCTGATCCAGGATTGGCTGCTTTTGCTGTGACATCATCAAGGCATGGGCGCTGGTCATGATGTGATGATGTGGTGATGCTGCGATGTCATCACAGCCGTGCCGACACCCCGGCTCCTGCACATGTGTGAGCAATCATTAGCGATGTAGTGTGCACTATCACCGTGGGAACATACTAAGTGCATCACACACACTCCACACCTCAAATGTGGGTGAAGTTTGTGGATTCATAGTCATAAACATTTATCGCTTTCACTTGTTTACAGTGCACGCTGCTGCACGTTATAGTGTTTTTAGCCTCGGGCAATAATGAGCTGATTACTGTTTAAATGCTGGTATTAAAAATCACAGTCGAGGGTCATGTGACTGATGAAGGAAGCTGATGGTACATTTGCTGGTAACACGTGGACATGTGGGTACAGCTACAAGATATATTTGGTTTAAAAGATGGTTTGTGGGTTCACTATAATGAGGAAAATGAGGTGTTTTAGAAGGGTACAACATTTACTGTTTAAAGTTACACTGTGGTTAGAAACTGTTACAGATGGTTACAACAAGGCATAAGGTTATAACTCATTATTTTAGCAAATTAGGTAAGAAACAGTTTATTGCTGTAGTGTGGTCAAATCCAGGACAGCATCCAAGGAATTATGTCCACATTGGCCGATTCTGCAGCTCAAGGTTTACGACCGTTGCCAATGCCAACGCAGGAAGTGGTGTGCCTTAGGGCAGCAACTAACGACTATTTTCAGCTAATCGGAGAATTGTTCTCACAGTTGATTTATTAACTTTTGCTCTATAAACATGAGAAAACTGTGAAAAATGCAAATCACAGTTTCCTGATACGACCAAATGTTTTGTTCTGACAATCCAAAACCCAAGAGACATTCAGTTTATTATAATGTTAACACACGGAAAGGCAGCAAATCAAATGTTAGGGATTTCTGTTTGAAAAATGACTTAATTGATTGATTGATTGATTGATTGACTGATTGATCGATTGATTACAAAAATGATTTCCTATTAATTGCAGCTTAAGTTTGTCTTCTGGACCACTGCAGTAACACTATGATTTCATCATAGTTTTGCCCAGTTGAGGGGAGGGAGATATCTAAAGTCGACGTACTGTAACGTTTTCGGACACAGTTGAGGTTTTTAAAAGCTCCATCATCTCATCCATGTCGTTCCATGCTTTTAACCAAGCCAGTATTCAAGCTAAATTTTTTCTTGTATTAAAAGCTTTTCTCAGTGACCATGTCTGTTGCATTTAGAGCAACTTCCAATAACGACAATAAGTGCTGCAGAAAAATCAGTGCAGGAAATGATGTTATCCAGTTTCCCAAAGTGTGTGATACCATAAGTGATGTTAGTTCCAGCTTCTGGTAAAGGCTGAGTCAGAGCGGCAAAAAGGATTGGGTCAGCTTTTCATACATAAACACACATACACATATGAGCAGTCATACGTGCACACAAACAAACACAATTTGTGAGGTTTGAAGAGGATGGCATTCACCTTGCTAATACAGAATATTTAATGCTTCTGCCTTTTCCTCTTTGGATTTCCTCTGAAATGTAGAGGTAAAATAAAGCTGTACCTCCTCTCCACACTTCTTTTTAGATTTATTTACACAACAGATCAATCTAATTGATCAGTTCTGCATTTTGAGCTGTCAGGTCCCGTGAAGCATGCTGGGGGTGTGGAAAAGGAAGAGGTTGCCACTTGACTAGTTAATATTTCTTGGTTCATTCTTTACTTAAATAATAATTATTACATTTTTGCACTACACGTCACTACAGACACTATGCATTCATTATAGCTAAAATTTCCAATATGGCATTTAAACAGTGATTTTCACAGTTGGCATTTAACATTTTAAAAGTGGCAAATTTAAGGGGGAAAAAATGAAAAATCTATCAGAGCATCAGCCAACACATTTTCTTTTGTGGCTTAAGCTTGTCAGGAGAAATAAAACAAATGAGCATATTACTTGTATTAAATGGGTCCATAAATACCTTAAGAACCAAGTACTGATATCACTTTTGACCCTTATCCACTATAAAGCACTTTTCTGGGCCTGTTTTATTTGGTAATTTATTTTTTTCCTTCTCGTGGATAAGCAGTCAAGCTTATTATATGCAACATGATGTCACACGAGATACTTTCAGGCAAAGCTACAATGAGAACTATCAAGCTGCTGCAGACAAAACCAGATAAGCTGGATTCATTGATCAGGTATCAGATCCAAGCAGAGGATATCAGAGAAGTTCATCACAGCCAAACACGGGGTGACTTCCAGAGCTTTTCCCTCATGACACGATCAAAACCACGATCCATAAAATCAGGCACTTGCCACAGTCACAGACCACAAGATGGAAAAATCTTATAATAGTTAAATATTGGGGGGAGACCACATCACCTGAGAAACTACAAAAGACAATCACTATTACCCCCTCTCGTCACTGTGCCTTGCATTTCTTTGCCCCCAACCCTCCACGCAAAAAAAAAAAAGAGAGATGACTAACAGTTTTGAAGAGGACACGACCCTGAGTCAGACTGTGTCTTCCTTTTGCTGCTGCGTAATACCACTGATGCTCTCTCTTTAGAACAGGGTTCCTCTCTCTCACATTCTTATCTGGTCGTGTGTGTGTGTGTGTGTGTGTGTGTGCGTGTGTGCGCGCGCACGCACGCACGCACGCACGCACGCACATCGCTGGGTAATTCATCATTGTGTAGACTAGTGGTTAATCGAACCCTGAGACTTTATTACTGCTGCCCCCCGTGTGTGTGTGTGAGAGAGACAGAGAGAGAGAGACAGAGAGATTGTACATGTATTTGTCTTATCTGTGTGTATTTGGACTCTGGATGCAAAAAATTCTTCTTGTGTTTGTCTTGTGAGAGGAGGTTACAGTGTGTGTGTGTGTGTGTGTGTGTGTGTGTGTGTGTGTGTGTGTGTGTGTGTGTGTGTGTGTGTGTGTGTGTGTGTGTGTGTGTGTGTGTGTGTGAGACAGAATATTCTGGGTGTTTTTGTTGGCGGCACACACACACACTTGCGTGCTCCTTGCGAGTATCGATCAGCCCTTTTATTGAAGTTATAAGAGTTTGTTGCCAGCACTATAAAGAAGGCAGACAGACAGACTGACAGACGGGGCAGTGGAGTGTATGAGAGGATTACCAGCGGACAGCCGATTCAATAATTGTTCAGTGAACATTCAGGGGATTTTGCTGGCCACACACACACACACACACCAGTCTTCAGCTGCCAGTTTGTGTCGCAGTGATCTCTTCAGCATCCATCCATATGTGCACGTACAGTAAGTGTATAAAGTCATACACACAGTGACGCCTGCCGACTGTTCTCACTGTCCTGTTTAAAACAAGTGAGGAACTCTGAAGTTCCACTGAACAGTGTGAGACTGTTGCTTTAGTTGTGTAATAAGGGACTTTTCCAATGTGTTTTTCTCTTTTTTAATTTTTTATTATTTTTTTCTTAGCTTGGGTGGACTCAGGAGTCCAGCTGTTTCATCTCCCACTTAGACACCTGGAGCTTCTCAGTACAATCACAAGTGATAAGAATTAATGTTTGTTCAGAATTGAAGAATCTTGATTAAAACCTTTAGTATCTTTAAGAATCTGAAACTTTTTAATAATCAATAACTTTGCTATAAAGCAGTTTTATTGCTCTGATCAACAAATCACCAGTGAGGCTCAGTCTGCCTGTAACTCAGAGAGGAAGGAGCGGAGATGCCTCGGTGGACACACAAGAAATCAATCGACTCCCTTGGCTTGTAGTGTCGTCTTCACTGCAGCAGAAAATGGTGGAAGAAAAACAAAAGCAGTAAAAGACAGTAAGGGTCATCTTAAGTTTTACATTTGAGCACTCAATAAATATGAGCCAATGTGTCGGCACAAATTGTATTTTTTAGATCAAGCGGCGGGCAGTTCCTGCCAATATGCTGAGCATCCTCTATTGTTGTTCAAGGCCCTTGTGACCGTTAGAAAAGAGAATATCTGAAAAGCAATGCACAGGTTCAGTACTGGTGTACTGTATATTGTTTAAAACAATATTCATGCACTAGATAGATAGATAGATAGATAGATAGATAGGTAGATAGGTAGATAGGTAGATAGATAGGTAGATAGATCAGTGTGTGTCCGCCCCGTTAGACTGGTGACTTCCTGTGTGAGTCACTCAGCTGACATAGCTATGCGACTCATTTTGATGTCATGTATCACACTGAGGTCATGTCATCAGCATCACCAGTATGAGTAATCCCAGTGATGCATGAACACACAGGCATGAAGCCATGAAACTCTCTCTATACTCAATACAGTCACATCACCGGTGAGAAGAGATGAGATGTGAAACCACACATCCTAACACTATCTCACAACGTACTGGTAAGAGAAGATGTCCCACAGATGGTGTGTGTGTGTGTGTGTGTGTGTGTGTCAATACTTTTATGTATGTGTGAGTGATTGTGCCCCACATCCCCCTGAGCCCTCATGTAAAGTATGACATCATCCCTGTGCAAGGTGTGACCCTGCATGTACGGCATCCCTAATGGGACATTAGAAGCGGATCAAGCGGCTAATGTACCAGCATTAGGGAGGAATAAGTCATGTGTGTGTCATGTCTGTGCTGGCCTGGCACACGCACGTTACACACACATCTGACCCCACAGATACTCGGCTCAGCGTTTCCTGGTCCTAATGCATGAAACATGTGTGTGTCAGCGTGTCTGTGTGTGTGTGTGTGTGTGTGTGTGTGTGTGTGTGCGTAATGTATGGTTATCACATTAGGGATGGTCATAACTCAGACAGTAAAAGCACCTAGACACCTCCTGTTATTCTTTACCTCTGCCAATAGATCTGTCATTTCTTTCACTCATCCCCTCCTCTCTGTCTGACTGTCTGCATATTTAACTGGAACAGACAAGAATAGATGATACTAAATATTTAAAAAAAAAAAAAAAAAGGAAAAAACATCTTGAGGATGACTCAAATAAACTCAATCAAGGACTTGAATCTTGAAAAATGTTTTTAAAGACTGACAAGGCATGGAAGTGAAATGACAGACAAGTGCTCGTCATATATTCCATAAATATTTGACAACAGATAAAGACGATGTAGGACAATCACATGAATCAAGCCAGATATTAGAGATGAAAGCTTTAAAATCAGGTTTTATTGCAGCAATTACAAGAATCAAATAAAAATGGCAGGAGTCTGTGATTAAAAAAGAAACACTTCAGTGTCAGTTTCTGTCACACTACTCAAAACCCAGAGAGCAGTTGATTGATTGGCATGTCAAAAACATCTTGGCACCTAAGGTTAAAAACTGGACTAGTTTTGACAGAATAAGATTGTTTCCTCTGAAAGTCCACTGAACTTACTTATGAAGCAAACTTTACAACGAAGACTTTGACATGTAGGTTAAAGTTCTGGAAAAAACAATGTAGTAGGCGGACCTGCAGTATTCTGTCAAACCACTTTTTCCAAGGTCAAGAATGAAGTTTTCCCCCCAGGACTAAATTTGGCGGAACAGTTCAAGTATTTTAGACATGTAGTGCAGTTACACTCAGTCACTTCATGTATCATGGGCAGATCATACAGCTGTCCGATCTCAGCAAATACTAAGTAGGACTTTACCCAAGAAGTATTCAAGACGGACGGAAATCTGATTGTTGAAAATCACCTCAGGAGGTGGTTTGATTCGCACTCTAGCCACATGTTGAAAAGATGTAAAAACATCCGACTCTCTCTCAAGACTTTACTCCTCTGGACTGGGGCTACGTTAGTCATTGGAAATATCCTTTACAGGATCTGTCTCCTAACCCTTGTAGTAGTAATTTACAATTTAAATTTGTAGCTTTTATCTGATTCCAGATCAGTTCGACCACTAAACGACCTGTGTGTGAGAACCTGAGGCCGATAAAAACTCAATATGAAACTATTGACAATTGAAATGTGCGTGAAACACCTTCACTTTTCAACCAAATTTATCCCAGTTTTAGACATATTGACACCTTTTGACACTCAAATCATCATATCAAGGAAACACACATTTCTGCAGTATCATGGCACAAACTCAGTTCAAGGGTTCGAACTGGTGCCTGACAGATGTATTTTCCTCTCATTTTCACAAAAAAAACAAACAAAAAAAACAAACAAACATGAAAACAGCTTTAATTTTGGCGCCATAATCAGATGTATTTTCACTGTCGCTGCAGGCTGTCCTACTGACACAAGTTCAAGCCCTCAGGATGTCGGAGCCCGGATTATATTAGACTTTTTAAATCAGTTTTGAAACAAGGTCTACAACAACACTTTTAGTCTCATTCATATCAACACAATGCAGCTGGGAGCGTCAATCATTTGTGTTAAGCAGGAGGTAATCTGACGAACAATGCTTTCTTATTTACAGATGCAACCTGAGAGAGATTAATAAGGCGATGTGAGTAGCTGTGTGTCCAAATATGAAAGACGTAAATAGGCAAAGTATTGGAGGTGCATCGATCTCAGCCGTCCGAGGCTCTGAGTGATGGAGAGTAAGAAGCCTGCAGACCTGATAATGATGATGTTACCAGAGGATCATATTTCCTTCCCGTTTATCAGCTACTGCCTTACTGGAACTGCTCGAACATTCAGGATCAGGTTTCTGTGAGTGAGTGTTAGTGTGTGTGTGTGTGTGTGTCTGCACGTGTGCGTGTGTGTGTGTGTGTGCGTGTGCGTGAGCTGCTCAGCTCACCAGTCTAATAATGAGAGGTTAACAGAGAGCCAGCATGGCCGTAATAATGTGTAAAGGATTGAATTTAGCACCATGGACAGGCACACTAAAACTGCTGACTGGCTCTGTGACCTCACATATCCTCACACACACACACACACACACACACACACACACACTGATGGAGAAGCAATATGTTCCACCAGGCACAAGCTCACAGGAGAGCACACATGCAGCCAACCATAAGTGTGTGTGTGCGTGTGTGTGAGTGTGTGTGTAGTGCAGGTTAATACTGTGAAGCACAGAGTAATTTTCTCTCTGTCGCCGGGCGGCCTCACGCTGTGGAAACGACAACACATTAACTGTTAAACAAGACACCTTAGACCCCGGGGTGGGAGGCGAGTGAAAGAGGGAGAGAGCGAGAGAGTGGGCGGGTGAGGAAGAGAGGAGAAACAATAAAGAGACTGAAAAAAAAAAAAGGAATTGTATAGATGTTAGTGTGTGGGGAAAATAAGAAGAAAGGAGGCAAAGCCGGAGGAAGGGAGTGGTGGAGCGAATGGTGAAAATGAACCGGGAAAGCAGCATGGAGAATGGAGAGAGATGAAGAAATTTAGGAAGAAGATAAAATCATGAAATTCAAGAATGATTAATGACATCCTCCATCATGAGAGATGAAAATGTGAGAACTGTGGGACAAATCCACTTCTTCTAGTCACAAACTAGAAGAACTTTTTACACAAAAAAACTGCAGTGTTGCCCTTTGAAGGAATGTCTGGACTGTGACAACAACAGAGCAGCTCCAGACCAAAACTGCCCACATGGGATCAGTGTGGTCTGACGTGAAGAGCGATGCGCAGCAGAGGAGCCTACTGTGCACTTTAGATTTACTTTGGAGTATATTTTAAATACCTGTCACTTCAAGATGTCATTTAGACGCATAAAAGCACTTGACTTGACAGCAGATTATTTGCCTTTAAAAGGAGTGAAGAGCAATTTGTTTATCATGAATAGATGGTGAAATGGATGTTGGTTGATGGTGTGTGTGTGTGTGTGTGTGTGTGTGGGGGGGGGGGGGGGGTGACGAGAAAGAGGCGGCATTTTTTTTTTTAAATAACTTTTATCTGTTTTTTGCAATCTGCCTCCATGTGTGTCTCCGTGTGCATCTAAAAGCTTCATCTAATTTATTGGTGGATTATAATTTAGATGTTTTTTTTTTGTTTTTTTTTTTACAAGACCTTCAAGAAGACAGAAGAAGAAAAAGTAGAAGAAAGCTACATGTGTTTTCTGCACACAAACCTATTTCCTTTCTCTTTTTCTCTCAGGAGGTTATTCTGAAGAGAGCAGCCGACCTGGTGGAAGCCCTCTATGGTTTGCCCCATAATAACCAGGTAAGGAGCAGACGTCCACACTGAAAGAGGAACAAGTGTGAAGACAATACGTCAGCTCTCTCTTTTTTCTTTTTTTTTTTTTAATTGGTAATTATTCTTTTATGTTTTTCTGTTCCTGCAGGAGATCATCCTGAAGCGTGCGGCGGACATCGCAGAAGCTCTCTACAGCGTTCCTCGAGGACACACCCAGCTCTCCGGCTCCACCCACACCGGCATGATGGGGGTCAACTCTTTCACCGGGCAGCTGTCCGTCAACGTCTCTGAACCTTCACAGGCCAATCAGGGTAAGACCTTCGACTGTTTCCCATCATAGTTTGTCATCAAATGCACATCAACACACATTGTTCCAAGACTTGAGTGTACTGTATATTACACAGGTCGCTCAAAGCCAGAGTCGTGACATATTTGCAGGGACATCATTAATGAAAATACGTATACTTTGCAGAGATTACCCAGTGTAATCATGTTTTGAAACACTCACAAACAGAATTTTACATAACATGTTCTTCTTGTGGTGCAATCTTGTCACAGAAAATACATTAATATGGATGTATGGTCGAGTAAACTGGTGTTAAATCTCAGTCAACATGAAACTTGCCAGATTTTGTTTCATGTAAGATCTGTGTCCGCATCACTCTGACTGTCCTGCTCCTCTTTCTCTGTCCTGCAGGTTTTGTGCGCAGCAGCAGCAGTGTGTCTCCTCACGGTTACGTGCCTAGCTCCACGCCTCAGCAGACCAGTTACACCTCAGTCACCAGCACCATGAACGGCTACGCTAACAACGCTGGCATGACCAACCTGGGAGGCTCGCCCACTTTCCTCAACGGCTCTGCCGCCAACTCGCCTTATGCTAGTGAGTGAACATGAACACATTCACCCGACAAACAAACATACAAGGAAATCTTAGATATTGTACCTACACACTGGCAGAAAAAAAAACATTGGTGTGCACATACGCACACTCAAGCACACACACAAAATGTTTGTAGACACAAAGTGAGAGTCTCAGATCTGCTGTGTGGAGATTTCCCCATGGGGCTTTCTGTCTCTGTGTCTTCAAAAACAATCACCAACTCACCGCCCGTACTGCATTTTGTCCTCCGTCCATCTCCTCCCTCCTTCCCTCACTGCCTTTCATCTGACAGCCACAACTCTTTTCTCTCTGTTGGTTAATTGCATCTCTTTTCCATTTAGCAGAAAGCAACAGGGAAAGAGGGAGAGAGAGGGAAGTAAAACTGGATAGAGACGGAGAGATGAAAGATTTTGTTTGTCCGCTGAAGTTTTTGTCACTGATGATGATGATGATGATGATGATGATGCAGGTGGAAGCGGACATAGACGTTTGACTTGGGGAGAGTAGGCTTACGTGGAACCTTCACGTGTCACTTCTCATAAAATACACTTACACACTTAATATAAGACACCACATTGCCAAAAGTATGTGGACACAGAAACATTACACCCATATGTGATTGTGGAACATTTCATTCCTAAACAGAGGGCAATGATCTGCTGCTGTGGCAGCTTCGGAGGTTGAGGTTGGGGCTCTGTGCTTCCACGCCAAACTTTGTTGTGTTAAAACAGAGAAAGACCTCCCCTAAAATGTTGCCATGGCAACATACTGTTATCCAAAATGTGAATGAATGTTGTACTATTAAGATTTACCTTCACTGGAACTAAAGAGCCAAATTCAAGCAATTATTTCTTTCTTTCTTTACAAGCATGTAATGTTTAACCTCTGCTATTTCTCACACATAGTGGAGAATTTCTAATGTAACTGGTGAAATAATAAACCCTTCACCTCTTCATCCCACATCTCTCTTTCTCCTTATTCCTCCACCACTCCAGTTGTCCCATCCAGTCCCACTATGGCCTCCTCCACCTCCCTCCCCTCCAACTGCTCCTCCTCTTCTGGCGTCTTCTCCTTCTCTCCGGCCAATATGGTGTCGGCGGCCGTTAAGCAGAAATCCGCCTTCGCCCCGGTGGTCAGGCCCTCCTCCTCCCCTCCGCCCTCCTGTACCAGCGCCAACGGCAACGGGCTCCAAGGTAATCTACCATGACAACAGCCAGTCAGTCAGAGGATGCTCGGGGGGTGGGGGGGGGGTTTCCATGTAAATGATGCTTATCTGATGAGTTTATTGAAACTACCTGTAACTACAGTCCCTGTTGTGTTTCATATCCTGCTCTCTGAAGTACAGGTAGCTTCACTTTCACAGTGAAAACAGTTCCTACTTACTGACTGCTGAAGTAAAAAAAAAAAACGACTCAATGGGTGAATTAGAAGTGGATGTTACCTGCATAACATGTAGAAATCTGAACGCCACAGTACAAGGAGCTGCTCACTGTTCTCATATAATCCACACAAGTAAAGGTTTCACGTAATATTCAACTCTAAGGCCACGTTAAAACAGACATAAAATAACACAAGCCGTCCAGTTGGGAGAACGGACTTTTCTACGCGCTTGCATGTATGTGACTGACCAATGAAACGCTTCGCTGAGCGTTATTTTGCAGAAAAGTTGTCATGAAATCCTGCAGGTCATGGCCTTCCGCAAACACATGTATGAGTGCATCAACACTGTCTGGAGTTGGAGTCATGACCTTCTTCTCTGACTTCTGTGTGGTTACAATTTGAAACATTTACAACTAAAACCAGTGTGTTGACGTTCGTACATGAGGAGACACAGAACGAACTCTTCATTGTCAACGTCTTGCACTTTGGACGTCCGACTTTTTTCATAGCATTATACAAGAGCATCAGGCTACATTCACATTTACTACTTATTATTGTTTCACTATCATTCTGGAAAAGGTGGTTATTATTACTTAGTAATTACAATGGATTGTGCTTTTAAATTGCTTTTAATTGCTTTTAAATGAACTGTTTCTTCAGTGCTTTTCGTACTGCTTCAACTTTTGGATTAACAGTTTTTTTCCCCTTCTCTTTCCTGTTTTTTCTCTCGACTTTTAACCCTTCCTCTTGTGATTCCTCTGAACTTTCACCCGTCCCTCGTCGTGTCTCTGTCCCTGTCTCTCTGCCTCTCTACCAGATCAGACATTTGTGGACTCTAGCAAGTACTCAACAGCCAGCTCTCTACAAGGCCTGGCCTTCACCTGAAGTATGTTCCTCTACTGTTTCTTCATTCCACTCTGTTAACTAATTACGTTTCCAACTTTCAATGAACTGAACAATTCAGTGAAGTAATAATTGTCATGTTTCACATGTTTCTCATTTTTCTGCATGTCTTTTTCCTCTCTCCCATGTTTGCTCCATCTTACCATCACATCTCCATCCTCTGCCTCGTTAATTTTTCCATCCACCTCTCATCTCAAGCCATTCTGTTGCCTGGTAACTCCTCTCTGGCTTTCTATTGGCTGGGAAAAAAAAGACAGGAAGTTTGATATTTACAGAAACCAAAAAAAAAAAGACATTTGGCACAGTGAATTTATTTCTCAACATTACTGACTTTGTTTAGCTGTGTGTGAATTTACACTTGCATTTCTGTTTGTGTAGAGAGAGAGAGAGAGAGAGAGAGCATGTGCGGGTGTGTGGGAACTCAAAGCTTATCCTCAAAGCAGAGCTCAAATAAACACACGCCACTTACAGACGCACACACACACACTATCCTCTGTCACACACACTCGGTGATCACACACTGGCAGCTTACTAGGGAGCGATCAACAATGACAGCTGTTCGACTCTCTTGACAGTTTATACTGTCGGTATACCTGCCCTACAGGGTGTGTGTGTGTGTGTGTGTGTGTGTGTGTGTGTGTGTGTGTGTGTGTGTGTGTGTGTGTGTGTGTGTGTGTGTGTGTGTGTGTGTGTGTGCATGTGTCTGTGTGCTCGTGAGTGTTTGAGACAAAAAAGAAAAACAGAAAAAACTGGAGGTTCCGCTGAAACAATACATTTTGTTAAGTTTTGTCAAGCTGGTTCTAAAACAACAATTCTTTATTCTCTTTCCATTTTTCACTTCCCATGAAATTAAACCAAATAAAACCATTAATTTAATACTTTAATACTGTGTGTGTGTGTGTGTGTGTGTGTGTGTGTGTGTGTGTGTGTGTGAGGTCGTGTGTGTGTGTGTGTGTGTGTGTGTGTGTGTGTGTGTGTGTGTGTGTGTGTGTGTGTGTCACTTTGGGCTGGGCTCTGCTTCTCACATGTTGACACCCATCCCTTGGGTTTAAATACAACACACGCCATGATGCAATCTGTCAGGCACACATACAAACATACAGTAAAAATGCGCCAACTGTTCCCAAGCTGAGTTGAATGTGTGTTTGTGTGTGAGCTGCATCACTAAGAGCCAACTGAGATGACGTGTCCCCACTCGGTTTTACTGATTTATTCATCTATTGATGTTTAAATGTCGCTGCAGTCACACAGCTGCACAGATGGGAAAACATATTGATGTATTTACGAGTGAATTTTTTTATGACGATGAAAATATTTGGCGAAGTTTAAAAAGTTTTTTCTCTCTCTCTCTTGTCCCCCTCCCTCCTCTCCCTCTCTTTCTCCATCCGACAGCAATCCCTGGAATGATCGTCCCACCCATGTAAAGGTGTGAGTACGTGACTGTGTGTGTGTGTGTGTGTGTGTGCGTGCGACTGGGTGCGAGATGAACCAAGCACACTCACACCGATCCTGGGCGGAGGATTTCGGTGTGAGTCAGACTCCGGTCGGGGATGGAAGCAGCTGTCCCTATCTGAAGGAACAAAACCCAACTCAGGCCCTTTCTAACACAAAAAAACAACTGCAAGAGAACAACTATTTGCAAGGAAATACATTGTTTAGACTTTGTACACCTTGATGCTTTTATAGGAGAATGGCCACGCCTACATTATGACTCTCCACGGACACTGGAAGTGTATTTATTTTGGAGAGAATCCACTTCCTCCCTCGAGTGATTGTTGATTTGTTTTCTTTTTGTGCAACAGTTAACGTGTGATAATCATCTTCTAACTGTATCCAACATGAGGGATTTTCTATTTATGAAGTCTGGTCGTTAATGAAGGAATATAATGTGAAGAATACAATGAGTAAAACCGATGATGATGATGATGAGGATGATGATGATGATGATGATGATGATGATGAGGCTGCAGGATTCCTACAGGGTCAAATCCAGCCGACACAGACAAGCCAAACCACACACACACACACATACACACTCACTTCTCTTGGCCAAATCCTCACACAACAGCACAAACACTTCTGCACTGAACCAATCAGCCTGAAGGATTTAGATGCTTCCCGCCTGCGACTGATGCTGCAGTTTTAGCCATTCAAGAAATCCCAATGTTTACTTTGAGCTTGCTTTATGTACTTTGTGCACTGCTGCTCCTGTGTGCTACATTTTCTAAAAAGTGCAAATCTACCTTTCAGCGAACAGAAAGTGCAGAGAGAAAGAAAAGATTCAGTCATTTAACGAGCCAAAACGAAATTTATTCCCACCGTGCAAGATTCACAGGAGAGATTAGACCTGCTGCAGCGCTAATCCAGGGCAGATTTGATGATAGCTAAATGTAAAAAGGCCATAAACGAATGCAGCTCCTTCCCTACACTGGGGTGTGTGATTACTGGATGCCAACAGTAGCTTTACTGTTCAGGATTTGACCCAACAACTCAATGCCAATGAGTCCGTCCATTGGATCTGTTACTATGATCAGTTTTAAAGTCGCACACAGCCACAGCGACCACTGCAAAAGGGAGAACATGTCTTAAAGACTGCTGCCATTCTGACCTTAATTTTGTTGTGATTTGTTTTCACATCTTTTTGTCTTAACAAACAAATTCTTATTTCTCTATTTTTTTTTTTTTGGTTTGCTGTGATTTTAAATATTTGTTTTAATTTGGATTTTGAATGTGATTATACAGCCAATCAGATTGATTTTGTTTCCTACCCACAGATCTGGTTCAGTTGAACAGTTTGAGTGAGAGAATTAGCCACTGGTGTGTCTTAAATTCTGCGCTGCAAGAACTGTCAAGTCTTTAAATCTTCAACTGAGTCTAAAAATCCTACTTCACTGAGGTACACTTTTTTTTTAAAATCTGCCCTTGCACATATTTTCTTCAGAAGTAAAGATGAAATATGGATTTCCAGTTTTTGTAGCGCAGAGCCAGCAACATGTCTTAAATGCGCAGTGTATGAAATAACGATATAACTTGATGGTTTGTTGTGAAAGTCACTGCTCCCTCAGCCCTGCAGTCTGAGCGTACAGCTCAGTGTGTGTGGTTCAACAGTCTTAATGAATTTAATTTATGTTCTGTTTATTTTTGCCAAAGCCCTTATTTGAGACGTTAATGCCTAAACAGTCTTATGCCAGAGTTTCTCTGCTGTTCATCACATCTTGTCTTGTCACTCAGTCAGAAGCCAATAATGTTATTATTTACAACTGTCAGTGCTGTATGAGGGTGTCATTTTCAGACCTACAGCAGGTAGCGTTCACAAATGGATCTTTGTTTGTCATTCAGGTCGTTGACATTTGCCACAACTAAAAATTATTTGAAAATGAATTTGGATACTTGGCCAGACAGACAACCTAACTAGCATCATGTGCTGACATAGTAAATTTCTTTCCATTTGATAAACAGAAATAATATGAACTACTGTCTGAGGAGATCTGGACCTCCAATTTAAACTAACTGGGTGAACACTTCATCGGCCAGAAGTCAGTAGCCTCAGAAACTAAGACTGAAGGTCTATAAGTAAAAGTTAAACAAATTGAGATGAAAGAACAGAGACATTATCAAGAAGAAATCAATTGAAACCCTGAAAATAAATCCTGAAAGCTCCTTGAATATGTTCACATGTTCTCGTTTGCTTTGTCTTTCATGTCCAAGGATTTGATAGTTATGAAAACTGTTTGTTTCGTGTATTATATAGTGTCTGTTTATTAGAAGCCATACTTCCACTGCTCATTTCAATCAAACTAAAAGAAGCCATGGTGTATTGTTTTATGATTTATAAGTTAAGGAGGAGGATGTTTTTGTTGTTGGTTTTTTTTTTTTTTTTTGTCACAATGTTGTTTGTATCATTATTGTTAAAGTTAGCATCATTTTGTTGCATTATCTAGGTGTAGAGTTTACCAAATTGTTGATATAATTATCTGTGTTTGTCTTCCATGTGATGGATTTTGAGATTGAATAATGAAGGCTGAAAGAGATGGAAGAAAAAAAAGAATCTCTTTCTCTCTCCTTCCTCCTGCAGCCACTTCTCTTGCTCTGGTCAGGCTTTCTGTCCTCTCTATGCTCCTGTCCTCTGTTCATTTCCCTCCCCCACCTTGTTTTGATTGTGCTATTAATACTCTGTATGTTTGCCTTCCCCCGTTCCTTCATGTTTTTCTTTAAAAATGAGCCACCTATTTATTTTATCTCAAACATGGGTCTGGAGACCACTCTTCTGTTCGCGTCTACATGTGAGTGCCTGCAAGTGTGTGTTTCTGAGTGTGAGTGTCATCATTTTTCCTCTAAAATAAAAAGCTGAAGGATGTTTTTTTTATAGTACATATATAAATACTTGTACAGGAAGGAGTGAATAGAGGGTTTGGTTTAAGGAAGTATGATGAAGCACTTGTCCAACAACAGTTCTAACATTTATCACAGGCTTGTCTGCGTTCAGGCTGACAGTGGTGGTCATCATTCACTCACACACATTATCAGCAGTATCAGTGTGGAAGGGAAGAGTACAGAGGAAACTACTGTAAAGATGATAATGTTGATTTTTTTTTTTTTATTATTATTTTGAACTTTGAAGTGTAAAATAACTTTTTGACTCTTCACTATATTTAATTAAAGTTCTTTCTTCTCTGTGAAAAGGTGTCTTCTTTTTTCTCAAACAACACCACACCTCTATAGTAACTCATGAAAAGTCATAAAAATGTAATAGTATAGTAAGGCATGAAGAGTCATAAAAATGAGACAGTATAATAAGGCATGGAAAGTTATAAAGAACTCAAAGTATAGTAAGGCATAAAAAGTCATCAAAACGACACAAATTATAGTAAGGAATGAAAAGTAAAAGTATAGTAAGTCATAAAAAGGCAGAAAATGTCACAATATAATAAAGTATAAAAAGTCATGTAAACTTCATAGTACAGTCATCAAAATTATTTCTAATAAGGTGTAAAAAAGTCAGACTATAACAAGGAATGAAAAGTCATAAAAACAACATATTATACTCAGGCATATACAATCATGAATACGTCATAGTGTATTAAGACATAAAAACTCATAAAAGGGTCATGGTATATTAAGGCATATAAAGTCAGAAAAATTTCATAGAATAGTGAGGAATAAAAACCTATACATACTATACTGTATATAACTATGCTATAGGACAAAAAAACATGAAAACGTCAAAGTATGCTAAGGCATAAAAACATCATAGTAAGGTAAGGCATAAAAACGTCTAAAAACATCTTGAGATAATAAGGCATAAAACGTCATAGTATAGTAAAGCATGAAAAACGTCAAAAAATGTCATAGTATAGTAAGGCATAAAAATGTAAAAAAAACCATCATAGGATAATAAGGCATAAAAAGGTGTAAAAAGGTCTTAAGATAATAAGGCATGAAACATCATGGTATAGTTAGGCAAAAAAACGTCAAAAATGTCATGGGATAGTAAGGCACAAAAACGTTAAAAAGAATCATAATACCTCAAAAACGTCATAGAATAATGAGGAATAAAACATCATAGAATAGTAAGGCATGAAAAACATCAAAAAATGTCATAGGACAATAATGCATAAAAAGGTCTAAAGACATGTTAGGATAATAAGACATAAAACATCATAGTATAGATAGGCATAAAAAATGTCAAAAAACATCATAGTATAATAAGGCATAAAACGTGATAGTATACTAAAGCATAAAACGTCATAATATTGTAAGGCAAAAAAACGTCAAAAAACTTCATACAATAGTAAGGCATAAAAAAGTCAAAAAACGTCAAGGGATAATAAAGCATATAAATGTCTAAAAACGTGTTAGGATAATAAGGCATAAAACATCATACTATAATAAGCCATAAAAAGGTTAAAAAAAAGTAAAAATATGTCATACGATAATAAGGCATAAAACATCACAGTATAATGAGGCATAAAACGTTATAGTATAGTAAGGAATAAAACATCATGGTATAGTAAGGTGGAAAAACATCAAAAAACGGCATAAAATGTCATAAAAACGTCATAGTATAGTAAGGCATGAAATGTCATAGTACAGTAAGGCAAAAAAATGTCATAGTTTGGTAAGGCATAAAATGTCATAAAAACGTCATAGTATACTAAGACAAAATATGTCATAGTATAGTAAGGCATAAAAATCTCATATTTTGGTAAGGCATAAAATGTCATAGTATAGCAAGGCATAAAAGGTCATGAAAACGTCATAGTTTGGTAAGGCAAAAAATGTCATAAAAATGTCATAGTATAGTAAGGCATAAAATGTCATAGTATAGTAAGGCATTAAAATGTCAAAAAACATCACAGTATAGTAAGGCGTAAAATGTCATAAAAATGTCATAGTATAGTAAGGCATAAAAGGTCATGAAAACGTCATCTTATAGTAAGGCATAAAATGTCACAAAAATGTCATGGTATAGTAAGACATAAAATGTCATAGTATAGTAAGGCATAAGAACGTCATAGTTTGGTAAGGCATAAAATGTCATAAAAACGTCACATTATAGTAAGGCATAAAATGTCAAGAAAACGTCATATTATATTAAGGCATAAAACGTCATAGTATAGTAAGGCGTAAAATGGCATAAAAATGTCATA